AGGCAGGCCCAGCGACATATACACGCGTTTGAGGGGAAGGGGGCGCAAAATGGCATATATGATGAGTCAAAAACCCTATTGTTTCAAAGGCGGGACTCGAGTTCTGTTGCGAACCCGCACGTGACAGCTTGGCGGGGTAGAAGAAAACCCCCCTTTTCCTCAACCCCTCTTGTGAAATGGCAAATGGCAGTCTACGTGGAGGAAGTGGGCGGTCACGAATGCATGCAATGCAAGACACGCTGGCAGGCAGAGGGAGGGGGAAGACCTGTGACTCGCTGCTGAGGTGGTCGACGTGTCGCCTCTGAGATGTATCGCTCATAACCTATGGCCCGACAGGAGCATGTGGTATTGGTTGGAGGTGATATGGGAGAGGGAGGGGTGACGTATTGTGTCTTGATAACGGTCGGAGGGTAACAAGCCACGGGAATGGCCCCCCAGACGAGGAATGCCGTACGCTGTATTGCTTTTGGCACCGGCATTGCGAGATGGACCTGCGAGCTGGTGGTCTCTGTCTGGCCCATGTCGCCATCAGCGCAGTGTACGGCAGTCGGTGCTACCTCTCAAGGCTCTCTCAATCATCTACGAAGGTACTTGCTTTCCTGCCAACGGACGGCCCACCTGGCCTGTCATCGTGCTTGCTGGCTTGAACTTTTAGCGTCCAGCTAGCACCCACACCGCTCAACCCCCCCCCCTCCCCACCCCGAAAAGACCTCTGCTATTCCACGTGATTGGCGTTCATGGCGGTGGCCAATGCCTGGGTAACTGGAGGGAGAGATCCAAATGCAGAGGGGGTTCTTAGACGAGGAAGGGGGTCTCCTCCCTTCAATTCAGCATCACCGAGGGAGATTTGACCATCTCTACCAGCCATGCGTAAATCCACTTCGGACCCCATTTCAGCACCGCAAGTCCCATACTCAGCATTGTTTTGATTTCCTCTCCATCTGAGGGTCTTCGGTCTTTTGGGGGATCGCAAAACATCTGTAAGCTTCATGCCAGCTGGGAAAATACTCCCCACGATCGTCAAGCCTTGCCTTTCCAGAGGGGTTCAATGCCATCACCCAGACGGAAGGGTGTCAACATCATTTAACCTTTGCTAGGTACTGCATCTTTTGGTGGTTGCCCCCCAATCTTCCATCGAGATTCATTCCTGTCCACGAACCGAGCTAGCTTGACAACGTAGCCGTGAGGACGGGACTTTGTTCTGACGACCTCCCTACCGCAACTCTTTCGACGACAGCCAGAGAGCACCGAGTTCGTGATTAACGAACTACGCTCGGAGTGCTGTGTCTCTACGACTGCCACAGGCGCAGAGACCAATACATCGACCGACGCTGGCATATCACGACACCGACAAGTCGAGCCAGCCGCCTCCCTGTCTAGGTCGAGAATTACATGGCAAGCTCATAGGGGTTTTGCCCCCACGTTCAATAGCATTCAGGACAACATGGCCGATTCACCGCCGACTCGTGCGAATGGCAGCTTGCCCGAACACATCATGACTGATGTTGACCTTGACACACCGCCGTCAGTCGCGGCGGCGGCGGCGCCGTCCATTCCGTCAACTCCCCAATATGCCCAGCACACCAAGCCTGTCTTCCTCCAGGTCTTCGTCTGGGTTCACGCCGCTCGTCACTGTCGTCGACTTTCATCATGCCAGGGGTCCGGAGTGCGAGAAGTGGTTTGGTGTTCCTGAGGGATCCGATCCCGCAACAGATTTCGACTGGGGTCTGCTCCCTTTCATGGCCCTCAGCGATGGTGCCCACGCGTAAGCTACTGTCCTCCTTGGCCCTCCTCCCACGAGGGGATCCGTTGACGCTCGAAGCTGACCACCTCTTCTACATTTTAGTTCCAGCGAAGACTTCTCCTACTTCACCCTTCTCCGACCCTCGACTCCCGACGAGAACGTGCCGGCGACCTCTCTCTTCGGCATATCATGCACTCGCCAGCTCGATGCCGCCCAACTGCTCAATCGTCCCGCCGATGTGACCCGATCCACTGTACAGAAAGCCGTTGTTGTTATTGCCGATAGTCCCCAGTTCTTCGGCATGATGCGCGAGCGACTCAGTGTGGTCACGCAGGCCTGGTTCGCTCAACGCGACTTCTCCGACACGGAGATCCTGCGCCGTTTTCAAGACAGCCTCGCTGACGAGAAGCGCCGCGGCGTACTTAATTCCGATGAGGACCGCGACCAGTATCTTGGTATGAGCTTGCGTGAGCTTGTCCGCGAGTTCCGCTGGCAGACTCTTGTCTTGCTCAAATGTTGCCTTTTGCAGCCCAAGATGCTTTTCTTTGGATCGCGCTGCGAACGTCTGTGCATGATGCAGTTTTCTCTCATTTCTTTGATACCCGGCCTGATTCGAAATTTGCAAGACTGCGCGGATCCCGAGATGAACAACTACGAGAAGGGCCTGGCCACCCCGACAACCTTGCGGACGAGCGACCGCAGCTCCCTGCTCACGTATATGGGCCTGCCGCTGCAAATCTTTGGCAAGGGCAGCCTCTTTGGGCCCTACACCCCCCTTCAGCAACTTGATATTCTCGCAGACTTTGGCACGAAGTCGTACATTGTGGGCAGCACCAACTCACTGCTCCTACAGCAAAAGGACCGTTACAGTGACATTCTCATCCACCTCGACGACAACACGGTCAATATCACCTCAACGTCCCTCCGCCAAGCCCTTACGCTCTCTGCCGCTGACCGCCGCTGGATTGACTATCTGACGCAGGAGGTCAACGACACGTGGGATGAGGCGAACCCCGGCCGCCCCAAGACGATGGGCTATGTTGGTTCCGAGGAGTTCATTCGCCTGCAATTCGAAGAGTACATACTCTCCCTCATCTCCTCCTTCAAGTACCACAAGCACCTCCAGGCCAACCAGCACAACCCTCGGGCGCTGTTGCCACACATTGACGGCGACCCTGTGCTCGACTTTGGCGCCGACTTCATCGACGCATGGCAGCGCACCGAGAACCACCGCATGTGGAACACCCACACCGACTCGCACCTTTTCGACGTTGTCGAACCAAAGCACCCCTGCGCTGGCGGCCTCACCATTGACGACGTCCAACGCCGCATCGCGCAGCAGGTTCAGGACATGCACCTCGACGAGCGCTTTGCTGTCGGCCGCGAAGCGTTGGGACGGAACCTGGCTGCCGGTCGCGAGAAGGCGTCTACCATGTTCAACAAGTTCTACGCCGATATGGAATCTTACCGTGAGGCGCAGCGCGCCAAGGCCGAAGAGCAGGCCGCCGCGCAGTCGGCCTCCGCGAACTCCGCCGCGGCGGAGAAGAATGGCGTCACTGATCATGAGGCCTCGCTGGCCGGCGGGAGCGGCGCCAAATCGACGACGTACGTCGGCAGCTGGGTGTCTTGGGCCGGCGAAAAGAGAAAGGGGTGGGGTTCCGGCTGGGGAGCGCGCAAGTCGGACAAGTCTGGCGCGTCATCGCCGGCGAGTGCGCTCTCGCCGAGGGAGGAGGGCGCGAGCCGCTTCTCCGGATCGTCGTTTTTTCCGGGTCGCAACGCCCACGGACAGGCCACGACGGCGGGCGCTGGACAGGATGAGAAGAGGCCTGTGACGGGCAACTCGTTCAGCGAGAAGCATCTTCTCCTCGGCAGGCACGACCGACTCGGCGCCGGGAAAGCCCCAGGGGTTTCAAGCACGAGGAGTTCATCCCGCGAGATGTGACGCATGGGCCGGCCCGAGGACAAGCCCAAAGGCTCCCGCACCGCACGGATATCGAGGGATGAGGTTGTGGGTGCCACGCCAACGTCAGGGCCAGTAGTGGATAAGGCTGACTTGAAAGAGTGAGACGGTCACGCCGCCACCAGAAAAAGGTTGACGTCGTGTACGTGAGCAAGAAGGAAATGGCCACCCCCAGCACCGGCCGGTGAGCCCGTGGCCGATATCGTCGTTCCAAGCACAGCAGCAACGGCCGACGCCCACACAAACGGGACCAAGCTCGAATCAGAGGCAGGGGCAGAGACAGGAGCAAAGATGGAGCCCGAGGTCGTCACAGCGGCGGGCGAGGTCGTGAGCAGCGCACCTGCCGCCGACGGCGTCAAGGTCTGACCAGCATGATGGACTGGCCGCCGTCCGCTGACAGGCGATGATGGTGGAAGACGGGGAGAGTGGAATACGGTTACGGCCATGATTTGTCCTCCCTTGATTTGAGGCCACTAGACGCACAAAGCTAGATCTGGGAGGGGTGTGTGCCCTTTGTAATATGATGATGAATGTTTGGATGATACCCCCCCCCCCCAAAATTTTGACTGCTGCACGTTGAGACTGAGTTGACCTGAGCTGGTCGCCATGAACATCCCCAACAGAAGAGCCGTGTGAAAGAATCTCCACTCTCTGGCCAGCAACATTTGTTCGTTTCTGTTAAATGGCGTTCAGTTTCCTTGCGAGGTTCAACGACCTGTCTCGCTCGCCATTGTCTACTTTGCCGAACAAGACCACATTCTCATCCTGGTCCTACTAGGAGTCTTTCCGAGTGAGCTAGAACATGTGAATGGGGGAGGAAAAGTAGTGTGCTGCCCAGTCCTGCCATGTAAGCCAAGCGTTCGGCGAATTGCAAGCACATGCATTCATCAGGATGATCAAAACTGCAGGAAGGCTCAGTCAAATGTAGCGCAAGCAATTAAGCCCATATCATATGTCTACCCGGGACACCCTGCCCGTGCAATACTACCTAGATGCAGAAGGAATAGGCCCTGAGGTCTACCGTATAATGCGCGTAGAATAGAAAGAAAACGTGGTTACCACTTCAGAAATTGTGCCTCGCTGCGCTCTCGCCTCTCGCGATACCGAGAACGTCTCACCCCATAGCCCAATGTAGAGCACTGCCGCCAGGGTGGTCGTAGTATCATCCCCTCGTGAAAAAAGAAAGAAAAAAGTCCTAAACCCCAGGTCTTTTGGATGCCATCGCATGCCGAGAGTGAAACGAGTAAAACGTAATGACACCCATCCAACGCCGTGCCTCCTCCCACAAGCACATGTTCCCCAACGCCGACTCACTTGAAGAGACTCCGCAGGTCCATCAGCTTCTGCCGCGCTGCATCTCCTCTATCGAGGGCCTTGCCCTTGCCATCCATGCTGAGGCTAGCGAGCTTCTTCTTCTTGTCCTGCAACTCGATCATCTTCTCCTCGAAACTGTTCCGCATAATGTAGCGTACAGTCTGCACAGGACGCTTCTGGCCTAGTCGATGCACACGGTCGACGGCCTGAGCTTCTGCGGCAGGGTTATACTGCGGCTCCATAACATATACGTTGTTGCCTGAAGTCAGGTTCAGGCCGAGACTACCGGCCATGATAGACACCAAGATGACGTGAATCGAGGGATTGTCACGGAATTCATCCATAGCCTTGGTCCTCGCGTTGCGGCTCATCTTACCGTCGAGTCGCGAATAAGTGATGCCTACGCTATCAAGCGCCATTTCAATGAGGTCAAGGTGGGTCGTCCATGAGGAGAAGACGACCGACTTGAACGGAGGCAGCGTAGGGTTTGCAGCAGTCTCGGCTTCCGACTTCAGCAGGTCCTCCAGCAGGGCCCTTGTTTTAGTGTGAGGCCCGGTGTACCTGTCAAACGTCCTCTTGCCGTTATTGGCAGCCTTGGCCTTGATGTGACCGTCGTGCTCGACGTTGGCACGAGCGCGCTTCAGTGCAATGTACTGCATATCGACTTGGTTGGGACAGAATAGACACTGGCCCGGCTGATCTTTGGCTAACTCCTTCACCTTCTTGAAACAAGGGCCGCAAATGACGTGGTAGCACTGCGTCATGTACCCAAGAATTTCCTCTTGCCCCTCGGATTCGATACTAGCGCCATCGCTGGCGCCGAGTTTCTTGGTGCACTGACTGCACTTGTCAGCATTCGTATTGAGCATCAGCTCAAACATCTCGTATGCTTGGCGTTCGCTCAGTGCCGGTTTATTGGAGCTTTCGTCATCACTATCAAGGTCAATAGCCATGTCTGCTGTCATGCCCTCCAGAGCTTGCATGTCGTCTGGGTTGAGGAGGTCGGCACCGTGCGCACAAAGCAAACGCAGACGCAGGATTGAGCGCAGAATGTGAATATAAGTCTGGCCACCGAGGGCCCCCTTGCTCGATTCGGCATTGGCAGACAAGACCTGTACTCGATCTTGAGCGTTCTTCTCAAACAGATCGTAGACTTGACGTTCCTCCAGGGTCATATCAAGCTTGATGACATGGTCGGTACGAGGAGGAAGGTCGATCTTGTCTTTCAGTCGCCGCATCGTGATGCTGTCCACCATGATGCGAAGCTTGGGGACGATCTCGGGGTCGCAGGCTTTAAACGGGTCGACGATGAAGCGGTTGAAGCGGTTCCGGTCGTCGAACGGCTTGAGTCGCAAAAATGCCAGAAGAGCAGCCAGGTCCTCGAGCCGGTTCTGCACCGGCGTGCCGGTCACAGCCCATCTGCGGTTGGCTTGCAGGCGGACGATGGCCTTGAACTGTTGCGTTGACGTTTCGCGGATCATGTGTGCCTCATCGAGCACGATACGGAACCAGCCAATTTCCTCCATGGGATACTTGCCCGGCTTCCGCTTGTTGCGCAGACCGAGTTCTGTGGAGATGGAGCCATATGTGGTGATGACCAAGTCATACTGTGCCAGTTGCTCAACGTCTCGGATGCGGGTAGCGCCGTGATACACATAATAGCTAAACTTGCCAGGCTGTATGTGCTGCTTGATCTGCTCCTCCCAGTTGAAGATGGTCGTCAGTGGACATACCAGCAAAGTGGTCTTGGCGTTTCTTTTCAGTTTCGTGAGACCGAGTGTGTTGAGGGCTGCAGACATGGACGATGGCTTCTGGGGAGGCTCCTCGGGTTGTATCAAGGGAGACTGCGCCCAGGTCTGTGCTTCGGTGAGCGTATGGCAGACGAGAGAGAGAATACTGAGTGTTTTGCCAAGTCCCATCATGTCGGCAAGGATGCCACCCCTTGTTTGTGGGGGCAGCTGCCGTTCGTTCAGACCGGTGACGACGTTGAGGAAGACCCGCTGCCCCGTCGAGCTTATACGGGCCTTGTAAAATGAGTCTGTCGTTCGCTGCTCCCACGTGGCGTCGGCCTCCTTATTCGTCATGAAGTACAGGCCCTGCTTCTGGTGCTTCAATAGGGGTGTGACAATGAGGTCCGATGGCTCCAGCTCGGGAACGTCGTTGTTCTTGCCCATTTGATCGAACACGAAT